CAGCTCAATCGCAAACAGAAGGAATGGAGGGGTTCCAGTTTCACCTGTCTTCTGTACGAGGGGAAAAGAACTGGTTGCTTGGGGGAGGGGTAAGCCTGAAACTCTCTCAACATAAGTACACATTTTGTCTCAAAATACATGTTTTTATATGCAGAAAGGAAAAATGAACATCAGTAATGTGAACAATGGTAGCCTCTGGGCAATACCATTTCTGTTTTCTTTCTAGTCCTCTGAATTTCCTAAAAGAAAAAAAATTTTTTTTTTGGTACTGGAAGTCAAACTCCGGACCTTGGGCTTTGGAACCACTGAGCTAAATCATTGCCCCTCCTGAATATTTCTATAGTAAGCATACAACACATTTTTAAAGTAGGATGACTATGTTCAAAACACTGTCTGAATTCAAGGCTATGCTCAGTGCTTTTAGCAAATGTGTAAGAAATGGAATTACAAAGAGCTAAAACCTTTTACAGAGATAACTCATCCTCATGTAAAACAGAACACATACAGGAGACTACAAGAAGTAATATAGATAGCTCCCTAAGGTATTCCATAATTCATTAGTAAGTCAGCTATTTAGAACTTGGAAATCATTTCTCCAAAGAAACAACATTATAAAGAGAGGCTAAGCTCCCAAGGAGTCAACAAAAAAGCAATTTCTCTTAACGCTGGACCTCATTCCCTACAAATTTGTTGACTGCACACAGATGATATGACTGAACTGTGACCCTACAGCACACGGTATGGGAGATGTATAATAGAGGTCCACGGGATTTGCTTTTTTGCGGGGAGTACAAGGATTGAACCCAGAGAGCACTGTATTACATAACCTCAATCTTTTTACTTGCAGTCTTGACAGCAGTCTTGCTAAATTGTCTTTGAACATGTGATTCTCCTTCCTCAGCTTTCCAGGGAGCCAGGGCTGCCAATTCACAGGTGTGTACCACCACGCCCACCTTATCTTGTCTAAAGTTTTTGTTTGTTTACGGCATTAGGCTTTCCAACTTTCAGGCAAATTCTCATTCACTACCTACTAGTATGACTTCCCTAGGGACTCAGGCAAGGGAGGGAGGTGGAAAATGCCAATCTAAAGGACAAGGCAGGGATGGCAAACCTTTTAGAGCTTTCTATATCAAAAAACAGCCCACTGCAGCACAACTACCATAGGTTCACCACCACTGGACTAAGGGAATTAGTGCTGGGGGATCCCAGGAGGCTGGCTATGACTGTGAAGGAAGTCAGTGTGGAGCAAAACAGGTTGGACCTCTTCTTTCAAAGCCCCCTTGCTGTCTAAATAGGACGAGAGCTTTAGAACAAGGACAGTTGCAGGGGAGGTGATCCCAAATGGTCAGAAACTACAGGTCTCAGAGGGGTACTATGCATGAGGGTAGATTTGTTTGGCCAAAAGTTCCAAACACTCCAAGCACAATCCCATCATCAAGATTGGCTATATAATTTGTAGGACCCACTGTGAAGCAAAAATATGGAGGCCCTTGGTCAAAAATGATAAAGAATTTGGAGACTACAGTACAGCATAAAACCAAGTAGAGGGTCCTTCTGAGCATAGGGATTGTGTGACGTCTTAGGGACCTGTGCATGTGCTTTTCTCTGCCTGGAGTCCCTCTGCCTCCGCTGAAACGTGACCTGCCCAGAAAGGCCTTGTTGGATAGTTCTATTCAAAATCACACCCCCTCCTGTGAAAGTGACACATATTTTATCCACTCTACCTGCTTTTTATCCAGACCATTTGTTATCTGGCAATTTCTGTCCACTGTCTAGTTCCCCCTTCCCCAGAATGTGAAGTTATAAAGGGAGCAGATTTCTTTTTTCGTCTTGTTCACTGCTGTATTATCAGTGCTTAGAAGAGTGTCTAGTACTAAAAGCCTCTTAATGGACACTGTGGAATGAATGAGGCCCAATAGCTTCAAGCAGCAGAACTTCCAGTGAAGACATGACCTACAAGTTTTTCTAATATGTATTCACATTGATCATTTCAAAATGCACCCAGCAGAGGCCTGCTAATTCATGAATATGAAAAAAATGCATGGCCCTGAACAACAACAACAAAAATATCTCATTTAGAGGAAGAAAAACTGGGGCTTGAGGGGAGAATAATTTAAGCTGATCCTTAAAAGGAAGGCAAAGGACAGCAAAGAGGAAGGGAAGCCATTCCAGGAAAGACAATGCATGAACTCAAAAATAACAGAAGAGAGGGCCGGGGATTTTGCTCAGTGGTTCTGCTGCCTGCCTCGCAAGCACAAGGACCCGAGTTCCATTGATGGTACCAATAAATAAATAAATAAAAATAACAGGAGAGAACCAGTCAGCAGAAGAGTCTGAATCTGCATGGGGTCTACCAACTCCAGAACCCAGGCCCATAACAAAGGCTTCTTCTATTAATAGGACTATTTCAGATAAAAGAAACAAGAGACTCTCTGAGGTCAGGAACTACATCCATTCTGTTTACTGCAGATTCCCCAGAACCTCACTGATCAGTATAGGCTGAATGAACAGGAAATACTCCCCAGTCTACGCTGCTTCAAAGAGCCACCTAAAGTAGACATCTATAGCTATTTCCTGTCCAATATCCACTCTCTCTTCCTTTAGGAAACCTTTCTACTACCACTCTGACTCAACATGGCTTAGGTGCAGCACACTTCACACTTCTCTCCAGGAATGGGGATAGATGGTTGGCAATCAGTGATGGCCTCAAAATCGGTCACATGACGTACTTTGGACCAATAAAAACTCAGGCTCATGAATTTAGCTGCACAAAGCAGAAGCTCTGCTCTCCCCACCCCCCACCCCACAACCAATGCTAAGTTGACAGAACCTAAGACTACAGTTGTTGGTAGACATTTTGTGCCCAGGGGTGGTGATCCTGCTGTGAACGAAAACAAAAAAAGGAAAGCAGCACCAAATGGAGACTTTGTTACATTACCTAGACACCTACAACTACCAACCAGCAATTGGAATTTTTAGTCATATGAACTAAAGGATTCCAGGTTGGATTTTTAAAGCCAGTTTTAGTTGGGTGCTTGCCACTCTGCAGCCCAGAGATGGGACTAAAAAACAGGACCAAGCAACTGTGGATCACAACCACCAACTAAAGAAAGAAACATGTAACTATATTCAGGTGACTCTAGCTCCAAAGAGTCTGGGTTAATGGGGAGAGGGGGATGAAAGTGTGCTTTGTTTTTAAAACAGGGTCACACTATGAAGCCTAGGCTGGCCTTCAACTTGAGACCCTCCTGCCTCAGCCTCTCAAACTCTGGGATTACAAGTATGGGTCACCACACTCAGCCTGACTACAAAGTATTTTAGCAAATTAGAGGTGCCCCAAGGCTGGATGCTGCCTGGTAGTACCTAAAGTGTCAATTCTGAAAGGGACAGTCTTTTTCCAACTACTATACATATAAAACTTGGATTTGCTGTGCCCCTTGAATCCTCCCCTAGCTTCACTTTTAGGATATTTTATTTTCTTCTCCATTATTTTTGGTATCAATGCCTGAGTGTTACTGCCAGAAAGCCTTGAGGATCAGGATTTCAAATCCAAAAGACTACAGTACAGAACAATGCCTCAATTTCCAATCATTTGGGGGTTGTTGCCCTCTGCCCAGCAATTGATTCAGAAGGTCTGGGGAAAACCCAGAACCTGTATTTCAACAAGGTTTCAGGTGGTTTTTATGCCAACTCAAGTTCCATTCAGTGAAAGAAGCCTAAGCTTAATCTCACCTACTTCTTGAGAGGCTGAGCAGGAGGATCCTCAGACTGAGGCCAACCTGGGCAATATAGCAAGACCATGTCTCAAAAAAAAAGAAATCTGAATTAAAATTCAATCAACAACCAGTTTATCAGCTGTATAACACGGGGCAAATCACAGAAAACTTCTTTTAAGTGTCTTCATCTGTAAAAGGAGAGTTAACACCTACCACACAGAGAACTATTGTGTTAGAATTAAGACAGAGCACAGGACAAGTCATGTAGCTAAAATAACTCAAGTTAGAAGCTACTAATATTGTTTGAATAAAAGTACACATTATGTAAAATAATGAGCCATTACTTCTTGAAACAATTTCCACTTACAGAGTTATTCCCAATTGGAAAGCTATAGAAATTTTCTTTAAGCCTAATTAAAATCAAATCATTAAGGCCTGCTGTCCTCTCCTAATTCCTAACCTGGGAGTTCTGGATCCTGTCAAACGATGTTGATTCTTCTCACTTAGTGAATGGAGCTATTTTTATAGAGAGGGCCCCCAACTTCGTCTAGGAGACCTATAAAAGATAAGAACTACTATCCATCTTAAGGCTATTCCCCCAAAGGAGTTAGTTTCTCCTTTTTCCCCTCTCTGCTTCTTTAAAAATGTATAGTCAGAAAAATTAATAGAAACAGTGTACAGAAAAAAGTTTAATTTCTTCCTATATACTGCATGGGCTCTCGTCTCCAAAGACAATTTTTGCTAAAAGTCTAAGTACCCTTCTAAAGTAAGATTGCTCAAACTCATACTTATTGACATTTGGGTGGATATTTTGTGGGTCTGCCCTATAGGACGCTCTCGAACATCTCTGGCTCCCTGTGCGCCCAGTAGCCGGCGAGCACAAGCCAACGGTCACCCCAAAATGTCTGCTGCAGACACTGCCAAATCTGGGGGGGCAAAACAGCCCCCCGTAGAGAAGCAGTCTGCTGAGACCTTAGGCGCGCACAAACGCGGGTGTGTGCACGCCTCCCCCCGCCCCCAACGCACCAAGGAGAAAGTTACTGTCCAGGTTACGGAAAGGTTCATTCTGGGGGCGGGGGCCGGCCCGGGGTCTGCAGCAGGGGACCGCCACTCACCAGGTCGCGGATGAGCTGGTCCA